ATTTGCAAGGTAACATGCTTACAGAAATCACTAACACTTAATGAAAAGTTTTGAGGAGCAATATAAGCAACACCTATATTGTTATTTAAATCAATTTTCATGGTTCCTATAATAGTTTGATCAAGATTAGAAAATCTATTGTCAATCAAGACTAACAAGGCTTTTGTTCCTGCACCGGTTCTATGATATCCTTTAACTGCAATAGTTAAAAGTCCAAAATGTAGAGTAGTTCTGCTGGTTTGTCTTAATCTAATACTAGCTTCTCTAGTCATTAAATTAATAGAAACAACTCTTCCTTGAGGTACAGCAAGCATTTGTAAACTATGATGTCTAAAAAGACCAGAGTTTCTTGCAAACATCCCAGTAGAATAAAGTCTAGTAGGATTGAAGGCTTCTAACTGATTATGACTAAGAAGTTGCATACTTCTATCAACATTGATCATATCTTCAAGTCTTGAAGTATTAGAAGATCTTCGAGCAAATAAATTTCCTAGGGTAGTGAAATTTAGCCTAGTTTCTTGTCCAATCATTTGAGATCTATTATTTTCAGTAGAATCATTTTCATTGATAGTTCTAGATCTACCAAGAAAAGGAGTTCTAACTGCCATTTTGCTTGTAAACAAGAAAATTTGTTTTAACTTTGGGAGCAGTTTTCTTTTCAAAAGTTGTTGAAAGATTTGAAAAATTCCCAATAAGATTATTTAGATCTTCTTTAAAAGTGAGTTTATCAACTTTGTGATGTAAAGATACTAAAAGAGAGATGATTATATTGTTTTGTAAAATAACCACTTTGTTTGATTCTGAAGCAATATTACTTGTCTCAGAATAACCAATGGGTTTTGGCAAATTCTGTTGGTTACAAAACTTATAAGCCTCTTCAAGTATTTTACCTTCAAAWTTTAAGCTCATTTAACTTCGAACCAATTTTTCAATTTGTTCTAAATGAAACTTAATTTTTTCAAACTGATCTTGGGATTTTTCCAAAACTGCAAGAACTTTTTCTTGAGAAATAGAATCTTTTGAAATAGTTTGACTATTAATCAAAAAATTATATTTCTTTTCAAAGCTCACAAGTTTTTCTTCCAAAAAAGAAAAAGTTGTTTTGAGGTATTCTAATTTATTTCTAAATTATGAATAGTTATGTCTTTCTTAATTAATACATCATGAATATATTGCCAATGATGGGAATGTTTATTCTGATTTATTTCAAGATTTTTTCCAAGATTTGTAATTAAATCAACAAGCACATTAAGCTGCGAATTACTACTATGAAAAATGTGATTAACAGACTCTTTATAAAAACAACACTTAATACTATTATTATCTAAGGAAGTAACAATTCTACTTGACTGAGATAATTCTAAATTTAGATACTCTAATCTATTCATAAACTAAACAAACTTAATACTTAAATAAATTTAAGCACAAGCTCTTATACCAATAAAAAGGGCTGGGCTGCAAAGCAGTTATTAGTGTGTGAAAGAAATAAATTCTTTAGACACTAGGTTTGGGCCTTAACGAGGTTAATTAAAGAGAAAACAAATACTCATTAAAAATATCTATACTTAATAATTCCATATAAATATTATCTTCATTGAAAGCAAAATATATATATATATATACTAGAAGCGTACTCGCGCAATGCAGCGAGATACATCATGATTTTAATATTTCATTTTCTTCTTTATCTCAGTCGATATTATAATATGGCTTTATGTGATTTTGAGAAAGCGATAAT